ACTCCATCCCTCATTTCTCTCGATCTCTTTCGGTTTATCCCTCCCATTTCTCTCTGACAGTAAGAACTGAAGCATGACTCATCCCCACGAGGAGTACAGACACATGAAGGCCTTGAAGAGACACAACGACATGCTTGGTTTCGTGGCTGATGCGGAGTACGACGTCCCGACCAAGTGCCCGTGTGGTGGAGGTATCAATACCGAGGTATCTCTGTGTAACAAGTTTCCCAATGATTTTGATACGCAACCTGGAAGGAGGTACTTCACCTGCAAAAACTTTGAGGTAATTTTCATGTCGTGCAAAACTGGTAAAACTTGTATAAGTAGAACCTGCTAAGCAGGTAAAACTTGCATAACTAGGAAAACTAGGATAACTAGGATAACTAGGATAACTACGATAACTAGGATAACTAGGATAACTAGGCAAAGTTGTAAAACTGGAAAACTGGTAAAACCTGTAAAACTGGAAAACTGGTAAAACTGGAAAACTTGAAAAACTTGTATAACTTGTGATAAAACTTGTGCAGAATGATGGTCTACACTGTGGGAACCGAAATTCAGACTTGTCGATTTCCGTTAAATAAGAAAACTTAGGAAAACCCTAATTTTCCAGAGGAACCGGATCTCTGCGAAAGCCAACGACAAGTAACCAAATAAATGCGGAAAATATGAAAAAACATAGTAAAACGAATTTATAAAGAAAGTCGATCTTATTTCCGATTCGCGTAAGAGCGTTGCGATCATTGCAGGGAATTACAAAGGCTTTGGCCGCAGGGGCCATCAGCGAGTTACAAACATAAAACCCTAGATCTAGTCGAGTCGCAGCTCGATGACGAAAAACGGAAAAAGATAGGAAAAAAGGTTTGAATGATTTCGGACTGAACCGTATGAAAGGCTGCCTACGTACCCCTTTCGGGGATCAAGTCGAACGTAGTTCAGGTTGTAGAGCTGGACCAGAGATCGAACTGCCTGGGCGAGTTCGTCTAGTAATTGAGCGCCAGTCATAGAAACCGAACTTGTCGAGAAAAAGCCTAAGTTTCTAAGTGCGGAAAATTCTAAGTCTAGAAAAGTTGTGAAAGTCTCAG